AGGCTTAACCACCTGCCTACTTATATCATTCTCTTTACTAAATACAATGGGTGTTTCTTTTAGTAAAGCGGTGGCTGATTTGTATTACTTTATATATATTTATATATATAATATGTATTAATATATAAATGATATAATTAAAGCAATACAAATCTATAATGATCTCAGGATTCTGTGATTGGATTTTGACGATTTTGGCCTTGTTAGAATCGTCTCATTGAGATGAACATTTTGGTGATAAAATCATTCAAACGGACCACTGGTTCAAAAGTTATTCAATATTGAAATTTAAAATTTTTTAAATTTTTAAAAAATTTTAGCTAATTAAAAGTTATTATTATATTAGAACCTGATAATTCTCTGACCCCCCTACCCTAAAAAATCAGGTGATAAATGGCGCTCCTCTAAGTAATCATAATATAGTTTTTTATATAAAATTTATTGTTAATATTTAATATATTATTATAGCATAACTTTGAAAATGATAGACCTTTGTATGAATCGACTGACTATATCCTAAATAATGAAAATAAAGTTTACAAAGATGATCAATCCAAAGAAGCTCTATCTCAAAATGATCCTGATCTTGCTTCTAACTCTATTTATTGAAGAACTTCTTTAATGAATCTTTCCCAAGACAAGCTAGATAATTTGTTTGGGGTTACTAAATAGCATAGTATTTTGTTTTTTCTATATTTAGTTTTAATTTTTTTAGAATATATTTATTTGATGCAGGGTGCACCATGTGCAGGATATAGCATTGATCACAGTAATCACAGGTGGTTATATAGATCTACAAGATAAGTATAGATTTTTTTATTTATATTATTTTATTATCTGTTTTCTTATCAGTTTATTTTTTTTTTTTAGATAATATTAATCATCGTTTATGTAGTCACATTTTTTCTTAGTATCGTTGTTTTTTAGGCTGGTGTCATGTCTTTTTGAAATCGTCATTTCATTGGTATTGTTGTATTTTGGAGTCATCATTTCACTGGTATCATCATTGTGACTTTCTCTAGTTTATTGTTTTTTTGGAGCCACTGTTTCTCTGGTATTGTGTTTTTTTAGAGTTGTCGTTTCGTTGGTCTCATCGCATTTTGGAGCTATCATTTCACTAGTGTTGTCATCGTGTACTTTATCTGGTTTATTGTTTTTTGGAGCCGCCATTTCTCTGGTGTTGTGTCTCTTTGGAGTCATCATTTCATTGGTGTCATCGCATTTTGGAGCCATCATTTCGCTAGTGTTGTTGTATTTTAGGCTTCTGGTTTGGGTGAGTATTTGTTATTAGACTTTTTTTTTCTTGCTTAAATTAATATTCTGCTTTCTTTTTTAGTGAATTTTGCTTGTCTGTGTCTGGAATTGGGCTTCCAGTTTGGGTGGGTACCGTATATGTTTAAAAATAAGCTACCATTTTTGGCCAAAAAGTTACACAAATATTTTGCAAGTAGTTTATTATTGGGTAAAAGTGTTTTTTGCTAATTGCGAAAAATTTTATTAAGTAAATCGACCATGCTTATTAAGTGAAAGTTGTTCAGGAGATAAAAATACATATATTTTGAAAGTTTCATATAAATCAGATAACTTTTTATTAATTGACTTTTGATTTTTACGTTCAATACATATGAATTTTAAAGAAACATTAAAGAAATTTTAAAAAATTCGTCGAACGTGACATGCAAAAACGTATTAATAAAAAGTTATCCAATTTGGATAAAACTTTCAAAATATATATATTTTGATCTTCTGAACAACTTTTACTTAATAAGCTATGTCGATTTACTTAGTAAAATTTGACTTTACTATAGAGTAACTACTGATAATCATATAGTAGCTTATTTTTGGATATAAGATGTTTTTATGTTTTTCTTTCAAAAAAGGAAGGTAGCTTATTATCAGAGGTGGCTTATTTTCGACAATATACAGTAAATTTTTTGTTTTGTTATTTGGCTTTTTGTTTTCTTGCTTGTACTAATGTTTTCTTTTTTCTGGTGAATTTTGATTGTTTTTGTCGAGAATTAGGTTCTGATTTGGGTAGGTATATTTCTGTATTTGTTGTAAGACGATATCTTTCAATTCTTTAAGTTCTTGAACCAATAGTTGGCTTAATCGAAAGAGGCAGTTAGATTTGGTAAGTTGGGTTGGTTCCTTCTGGTAAGTATCTTTCTATTATGCCGAAATAATAAGGGATGTGACAAAAATCAGGTGATTTTTTAGGGGGAGAGGGGTAAAAAAAGTTAAAATTATATATAAAAACCTGATTTTTTTTTATATTAAGAGAGGGAGAGGGTAAGCTTCTAATAAAAAAAAATCAGGTGATAAATGACACTACCCTAAATTAACCGGAATAGCCAAAAATCATTTGGCTAATTTTTTACAGGTATCCTGAAAATTATGAAAATAGCTGTAAGCAGTATATACCTCATACCAGCCATTCAATATACCGAATTGGTCATGGTTTTAATAAAATAGAAAGTTTTAGTAAAGTATTAGCGAAGAAATATAGCACAACAGAAAGATACTTACCAGAAGGAACCAACCCAACTTACCAAATCTAACTGCCTCTTTCGATTAAGCCAACTATTGGTTCAAGAACTTAAAGAATTGAAAGATATCGTCTTACAACAAATACAGAAATATACCTACCCAAATCAGAACCTAATTCTCGACAAAAACAATCAAAATTCACCAGAAAAAAGAAAACATTAGTACAAGCAAGAAAACAAAAAGCCAAATAACAAAACAAAAAATTTACTGTATATTGTCGAAAATAAGCCACCTCTGATAATAAGCTACCTTCCTTTTTTGAAAGAAAAACATAAAAACATCTTATATCCAAAAATAAGCTACTATATGATTATCAGTAGTTACTCTATAGTAAAGTCAAATTTTACTAAGTAAATCGACATAGCTTATTAAGTAAAAGTTGTTCAGAAGATCAAAATATATATATTTTGAAAGTTTTATCCAAATTGGATAACTTTTTATTAATACGTTTTTGCATGTCACGTTCGACGAATTTTTTAAAATTTCTTTAATGTTTCTTTAAAATTCATATGTATTGAACGTAAAAATCAAAAGTCAATTAATAAAAAGTTATCTGATTTATATGAAACTTTCAAAATATATGTATTTTTATCTCCTGAACAACTTTCACTTAATAAGCATGGTCGATTTACTTAATAAAATTTTTCGCAATTAGCAAAAAACACTTTTACCCAATAATAAACTACTTGCAAAATATTTGTGTAACTTTTTGGCCAAAAATGGTAGCTTATTTTTAAACATATACGGTACCCACCCAAACTGGAAGCCCAATTCCAGACACAGACAAGCAAAATTCACTAAAAAAGAAAGCAGAATATTAATTTAAGCAAGAAAAAAAAAGTCTAATAACAAATACTCACCCAAACCAGAAGCCTAAAATACAACAACACTAGCGAAATGATGGCTCCAAAATGCGATGACACCAATGAAATGATGACTCCAAAGAGACACAACACCAGAGAAATGGCGGCTCCAAAAAACAATAAACCAGATAAAGTACACGATGACAACACTAGTGAAATGATAGCTCCAAAATGCGATGAGACCAACGAAACGACAACTCTAAAAAAACACAATACCAGAGAAACAGTGGCTCCAAAAAAACAATAAACTAGAGAAAGTCACAATGATGATACCAGTGAAATGATGACTCCAAAATACAACAATACCAATGAAATGACGATTTCAAAAAGACATGACACCAGCCTAAAAAACAACGATACTAAGAAAAAATGTGACTACATAAACGATGATTAATATTATCTAAAAAAAAAAAATAAACTGATAAGAAAACAGATAATAAAATAATATAAATAAAAAAATCTATACTTATCTTGTAGATCTATATAACCACCTGTGATTACTGTGATCAATGCTATATCCTGCACATGGTGCACCCTGCATCAAATAAATATATTCTAAAAAAATTAAAACTAAATATAGAAAAAACAAAATACTATGCTATTTAGTAACCCCAAACAAATTATCTAGCTTGTCTTGGGAAAGATTCATTAAAGAAGTTCTTCAATAAATAGAGTTAGAAGCAAGATCAGGATCATTTTGAGATAGAGCTTCTTTGGATTGATCATCTTTGTAAACTTTATTTTCATTATTTAGGATATAGTCAGTCGATTCATACAAAGGTCTATCATTTTCAAAGTTATGCTATAATAATATATTAAATATTAACAATAAATTTTATATAAAAAACTATATTATGATTACTTAGAGGAGCGCCATTTATCACCTGATTTTTTAGGGTAGGGGGGTCAGAGAATTATCAGGTTCTAATATAATAATAACTTTTAATTAGCTAAAATTTTTTAAAAATTTAAAAAATTTTAAATTTCAATATTGAATAACTTTTGAACCAGTGGTCCGTTTGAATGATTTTATCACCAAAATGTTCATCTCAATGAGACGATTCTAACAAGGCCAAAATCGTCAAAATCCAATCACAGAATCCTGAGATCATTATAGATTTGTATTGCTTTAATTATATCATTTATATATTAATACATATTATATATATAAATATATATAAAGTAATACAAATCAGCCACCGCTTTACTAAAAGAAACACCCATTGTATTTAGTAAAGAGAATGATATAAGTAGGCAGGTGGTTAAGCCT